TATTTGATTTGAATGAATAAACAATACTTTTAGGTATGTTTAAATAGTCCACTATTTTTCGAATAGGAAAAAGAAAATAAAACAGGGTTGTAACTTTTCTTGAAATAGTATGTAATTATTTATGATTTTTCAAGGAACGTTTTAGAAATCGGACGAAAATTCATTTTTTTAATTTTCATTTTTTGAAAGGATGACTCTTCCTTATCTGTCATGAAACGTGGCAGGGTTGTTCTTCTTATTGTTTTTAGAGGTTTTTATAAAATATTTTATTCCTTTGTTTTCTTTTTATTTCAATTTCTTATCTACCTTTTCGAGAATTTGAAATTTTTCATCTTGTTATAATTTGAGATATATCACATTTTTCGTTTTTTAATTACACATAATTTCTATTAAATTATTTTATAAAACTTAAATTAATGAAACAAAAAAGTTCTTAAAAATATATCAGAATAAAATGGATTATAAAAAGAATAGTATCTGAAGCAGCTAATGTTAATAACAAATGAATGAATAAATATAGTAAAAATATAGTAAAAATAAATTATAATCATAATACTTAAACAAGTGTAATGAATTGGAACAATTTTGAATTGCCACATGAACCATCAGTTGATTTAGCAGACCAAGCTCTATTATTTGATCCTTGTCTTAATATATATAAAAAGAAAAAAGGGTATTATGCCACAGGAGTACCTGTTGTAATGAAAGAAGGAGATATATGTGAAGTGCCAAATCAATTTGGAGTTCAAGAATTAGCTAATTCTATTCCATATTATACATCTCGAGTATTAGCAGAAAACCATACTATTGACCAAACGCATAATTATTTTAATTTAATGCAAATGATTAATGTAAAAAATAAAAAATATTTTCTTTATCCTCATAAAGAAGGAGAAGTAGAGTTCTGTTTATTTAATGGAGAGATTACTCCAAAAGGACGAATTGTTTGTGGAGGTATTATCAGAAAAATTGTTGTTATTAAAGAAACACTATGGAAAAACCCATCAATGCATATTACACCACCTCCAATATTTTGTATTGCTAATGAAAGTAATATATTTATATATATTATGGAAGATGAAAATCCAGTAAGAATAAATGAATTTCATATTAATGATAAAATTGATGATATTCAAATAATTTGTACTGATGATATTTATTTAATTATTGCTGTAAATAATAAAATTCATTTCATTTCAATAAATACAAAAGAAGATAATGAGTATATAATTCCATATAGGGAAGGAGATGATGGAGAGGCAAGAATTACATTCAGTTTATTTCCTAAATTAATTATTTGTAGAGGTTTTGGTATGTACATATTAAATATATTAACAAAAGAAGTTGAAATAAAATATGGATTTTCTGATAAGGTTTTTGCTTTAACAAGTCATCTATCTTTTCCATTTCATGTTATTATTATAACTGAAACATCACTTTTTATTATGGATACAAGGACATTTACTGGTGTTGCGTCTCATCTACATGTAATTCCAAAACAACACTTATACTATGATATAGAATGTTTCTTATATGAAAATAAATTAACATGTATTATTCCAACGGAGCGTTATTGTATAATAGTTCCATTTGAATTTAATCTTGAAAAGTTACAGTTTGATACTGAATATGCTTCTTGTCTTGTTAAACTTCCATTAATACTCCCATTTATTAAAAAAAAAATGCATTATAGGATTCTTGGACTTAATGCAATTCCTCATGAAAATGAACTTATAATGATACTCATCGATACTGAAAGAAGAATTACAGCTCAAAAATTTATTTATGGAGAATATAATGAAGATATTCCAAAATATTCTGTTATTCTTTCTGAAAAACACACAGTAGAAAGACCTATACCATCATTTAGAAGAAAGATAGATATGTACCGTGAATTTTTAGATAACCAATTATCTAAAGAACCAGTTGTTAGAAAAAAGATAAAACAAGAAGAATCTAAAACTAAAAAAGTTGAAGTTAAAAGCACCAAAGTAAAAGACTATGACAATAAACATTCAGATAATTTCTTTTATAATTATGCATTAAAAAAATGTGCACAAAAAGATAAAGAAGAAATGGAACTTAGAAGAAAAGAATTACAGAAAAGAACTAAAAGTAAAAAACCAAAAGTTATAAAAGAACCTAAACCAAAGAAACCTCAAATTAAGTTACCTAAAGAAAGGAAAAAGAGGGAAGGAAGTGAAATAGCATCACTTAATGTTAATTCTCTTAGACGCCATAAACGTTGATAAATTGTTATTGAAATTAAGTTATTAATTTAATAACATTATTATTAACAAAATAGGTTTTGTGAAAAAACAAAATAATTTATATAGTTTTTTTATTGTTAAATTATAATAAACGATAAAATTATAAAAAAAACAACTTATAATTCATTTATGTCACGAGAAGAAGAAAATACAACTCTCTATGTAGTGGGAGTTCCTGAGTGTGCAGATGAAACAAGAATTAGAGAAGAGTTTGGAAAATATGGAAAAGTTGAAATAGTTACTATCTTAGCAAAAAGAGATCAGTATAAAACACACACAGTCTTTGTTAAGTATTCTACTTTTGAAGAAGCAAAACGCGCAAAAAATCAGTTAAATTGCACTAATCCATTTGATAATGGACCAACAATGTCTGTTAAAATTGCAGATAAAGACCATAAAAGAAAGGCTAGGGACGATGAAAGAAGGAGAAGTGAAAGAGATAGAGAATGGGAGAGAGAGAGAAGAAGAGGTGGAATTAAAGGTATAGATAGGAGAGGTAATATTTTTTCTAAGCGAGAAAGTAGTAGGTTTGATAATAGGCGTAGTGAATATAATGGATATGATAAATTTCTCGAAGAAAAAGAACGAAGGTATGCGCCATATCAATATAATTCTGTTCTTCCTTCATATAATAGCTATTCAATGTCATCACAATATCATCCATATACTCCAATTGCAAGTGGAATTGTTCCTCAACCTAAAAATTATGGAGGAGAATATGCATCAACATATGTCCCAAGCGTTTCATATCAACCACAAACAATTTATCAACCACCTCAAACAAGTCAAGGTAATTTAACACAACCAACACAATACAATTATAACCCTTATAAAAAATGATAAATAACAAAATGAAATAATGAAGTTAATAAAGAAATAAAATTGAACTCATAGTCTTTGATAATAATTTAAAAGATAATTTACTTATTTCTATTTGTTCCAGATAATTAATAATCTTAAATAACCTTCTATCTAAAAAAGAAACTTAAATTAAATTCTTATAAATACAAGAAGAATAAGAATTTTCATATTTGTAAGATGAATAAATAAATTGTTTAAATAATGGTTCAATTGAAGAAAACAAACATATAGAAGAATATAATAAATTCATTATTTCTTTATCAAAATGATAAAGAGTTAACCCATCTTTTTGCATTCTATTTTGTATTTTACTATAAATTCTTTTTCCAAATTCATTACTTTGAATTAAGTTAATAACACCATTGCCAATTGCAATAGATTCAATTCGTTTCATTTGAATATAATCTTCTTTAGTACCTTTTCTTGTACTTCTCTCCTTTAAGACTATATTATTTTGTTTTAATAACAAAATCATTAAATTATTTGTCATTGTATCTAAATACGTTTTTTTTTCTTTAGATGACTTATCTTTCAAATCTTCTTGTTCTACATCCCAAATTACTTGTTGTCCTCGACTAATTTTTGAAATAGGAAAACATTGCATTGTTGTAGTACTTCGTTTATGTGGCTTATTTAATACAATATCAAATCCAATGGTATTTAATACTGCAACTAGAAACATCTGTTGAATTACAACTCTGTTTTGTGATTCTCTTTTTGCTACAAGTTGTTCTTTTTTTACTACCTCATCACTATTATCTAATATGACATAAGAACCATCTTCATCTATTGTTAGTGGTATTTTAATAAAAGGACTATGAATCATATTTCTTAGTAAATTTAGTTCTCAACATCAACGACATAAGTAACCACGTAATTATTATTTTGTATTGTAGAATTGTTAATTAAAAAATCATAAATATTTTATTTTTATTCCTTTTATGTTGCTGAGTTAAAAATCTCCACTTCTAAAACTTCAACAATTTCTAATAATCGAAAGTATAAATATGGAATTAAGTAAAGTGATTATTTATGAACCAAATATAATATTAATTCAATATTATGATTTTGTATCGAATGAAAATCTTTATTCACTCATCACCAAAAATATAAAAGATAATACTGATATTAATTTAAATAATATTTTCAAAAATAGAAATGAGGAAAATGACCCAATTGCTTAATGTCATTAACCATCGAAATTAATGATTATTGTAAAAGTATTTTAACCTTATTATTTCTTTTGTTATTATTTTTATTTATTTCTTTCTTTTTGTAATATTCTTATTTGATACAGTTTACTCTCCACTCTAGGACTTTTTACTATTACTTGTTTGTTTATTATTTTTCTTTCTTTATTGAATTAGATAATTCTGTTTTAATAGTTTTTTTTACTTTTCTTCCGTATAAATTCTATCTTTTTAATTAATTACACTTGAGAATCTAAAACTATTTGACTTTTCTTTAAATAAAATATGTTACTAAATGAGTATGTACATAATTATCTTCAATAATATTATTAGTACGTAATAATTTTTATTGATTATTAATCTAAGTTATTAATCCTAATACATTAATTTTGAAAATAAGTATTTAACTCACATGACAGGATATTATTATCAGTACTATCGAATTGAAACAATTAAAAAATTCCTTAAAAATATATATAAATCCAATAATGTATTAATTCTTGATACTATTCAATAACCAAGAAGTTTTTCTTATGCTCTTTATTAACATATAATCCAATAAAATTATATTTAATGAAAATAAGTGATGCTAATTGTCAAAATAAAATTGAAATATAGTGTCCCTATACAGATAATTTAGCATTCTTTTAATTACAAAAATTCGACAAATGTCTAAATAGTTTTAGCTTATTTGAAATAATAAATTAATACTTAATCATTTATTTTTAACAAGTAAAGACTTTACAACAATTCGTTTGAGTAGTTGCTTAAAATAATATCATTGAAGTAAAGATCTGTACTAATTAAGACATAAACAATGAATTAAATTGATTAAGTAAAAGATAATATAAATACTTCAAAACCAAAAAAAAATAATAAGAAGTGAACGTTACTTTATCCATGAACCAGTACAGATTCATAAAAACAATAAAAAACATAAAATTATAAAACAAAGAGAATAACTTTAACAATAATTGTTACAAAAAACACGAATATAGAATGAATAAAAAGAGTAGAACAAAAGAAAATAAAAGAATCAAAATAATTATCAAAGTCGAAATAATAAAGTAACCCAAAACTTTAAAAATAAGTACCAAATAAAACATATATTATTAAATTATTTATAAAAAAGAATATAAATAACTTACCTAAAAAAAAACAACAAAAATGAAAGTGGACAAACAGAAGTTAATAAATGATTATAACAAAACAGTGATTATAACCAAATAACAAGCTAATTACACCATAAATTTGATGAACTAAAACAACAAAAAACTTTAATCAATTCATTTCGTTCTATTAAAAATAGAATTAAACAAAAATGAATAATTCAAATTAACGAACAAAAATATTTGATAAAAGTACAACAGCAAAAAAAAAATTAGTGAAAAATTAATTGAATAAGCAACAGTGCTAAATTAACTCAGTATGTATTACCTTATTTCTTAGCGATCTTTTTGGCAGCAGGCTTTGGAGCAGCTTTCTTAACTACTTTCTTAGCAACAGCCTTTTTAGCTGGTTTCTTAACTACTTTCTTTGGAGTAACTTTGACAGCTTTTTTAATTTGTTTAAGTTGTGACTTAACAATATTTTGTGCGACTTTATCAGCAGCTTCAACTGATGGTTGTGCAGCAACTTTCATCATAAGTTTATCAACAATTTGTTCAATGGCAGTTTTAGCAACAGTCTCAACATTATTTCTAGCAACACCATTTTCAACAGCAGCTGAAATGGCTTTAACAATCTTTGAATGAACTTTAGTGTAAGCGGCTTCAGCTTTTTTAGCAACAAAGGCTTGAACCTTAGCAGCATCATTGTTGAACTTCTTAGCGGCTTTAGCAACATTAGATTGTGCAGCAACTTTAGCAGCAAGTGTAGCATATTTGTTTGCAAGTTGTGAAGTAACTTTCTTAATAGTGGCTTGTGTCTTTAATCTTTCATCAACAAAGTTTCCTTCATCTTCAAGTCCAACATGTCTTTCAATTTTATTACTTCTAGCAATGCTATCTCTGAATGGAGCAGTAATTTTATCAGTTTCCTTTCTAATATCTCTCAACATATTAACTTTATGAATTCTAACTGAATGAAGTTTCTTTTGAATGGCCTCAATTTCAAGTTCAAGTCTTGCTCTATCTTCAGCAACGGTAGCATATTTAAGATCTCTATAAAGGTAATAGAGTGAATCATTAAGATTTCTCTCTTGTTGTTCATCAGCTCTTATTTTATTATGAATAGCCTTAGTTTGTGCAGTAATAGTATTAATTCTATTTTGAATTACACAACTTCTTTTAAATGGAGAGTATATATCTTCAGCAGTAGCAAGTGCAATGAAGAGGAGAATAAATGCGTTCATGAAATTATAATTTTCAGTTATTAGTTCTTTCTTAAATACCTACTTTTCTTATTATTTTTTTTTTTCAACATTTATCTTTTTTTATTTTTCTTTTTTATTTTTCTTTTTTAGTTTCCTTTTTTTCCTGATTTTTTACTTCTTAATATCCTTCTTTTTCTTTTGATTTTTGATTCTTATTATTTCATATCCTTTTTTATTCTCTTTTTAAGTTCTGTATATATTTCCTCTTTTTTTGCCTATTTCTTCAGGATTAATTTTTAATTTTTCCTTGACTTCTTTTCGTTCTAATGTTGATTTTTAATTAAAACCTTTCGAAACTCTTCTTCCCTGATAACTTTTTATCTAAACATTTTTCTTTTTACCATTATTGTAAGACTTATTATTATTGTGTTTTATATAACGTAAAAATACTACCAAGTGTTTTTTTGATTTGAAACCACAAAAATAAAGTGATATAAACTCATTTATAATAAAATGATAAAAATTTCTATTCTTTTTATTTTCCTCTTAGAGTCATTAGTTTAATCAATTTTTTTATTTTCTTTTAAGTTAGCTTAATTCATAAAAAAATAAAATAATTATTTTTTATTATTTTACCTTATCTTTAATTTGTTTTATCTTAATTATTTGATGACGAAATATTGTTTGAAACAGTTGTTAGTGTTATCTTAACTACTATTATTTCGTTAATTTTTATTTACTCAATACCTCGAATTAATAAAGAATTTTTGTTTCATAATTTCTTATTTTATATTGACTAAATCCAAAATACTATTTTAAATTAATCATCATTATAAATAAAATATTTTGTTATTAGAGATTTAATGTAATACTTTTTTTGTGGAATTATTATTGAATAAATGAATATTATAAAAAAAACACTTTAAAAATGATCTTTTCATATTCAGTTTATTTACTTCTCTTTGTAAGAAAAGAAACCATTAAATCAAAATAGAATAAACACTAACCACCATACTCAATTGGACAATCTCATCTGTATGATTTTTGGTATTTAGCAC